AAAATACATATCAGTTCGTAGGATTCCCGTGTAATTTTGACACCAAATATCCAACAAGTAAAGCTCAGGATGTTTATATTATTCAACAGGTCCTTGACGGTCAGCCCACCTCATGTATGGGAGGTGCGCTTTTGAAACTTATACGATTTGCATAATTTTCAAAATGATATTTTTTTTTTTTTTGTAATTTTGTGTGCTGATGTGAAGGTTGTAAGCAGAATGAGTGATGTTCCGCTTGTTGAGTTGTCCTCTTCCACTGGTTATTTGAAAGAACAAGCCTGCTGCCTGACGAAGAAGAGGCTGGTGGGCCTGGACAGCACGATTGATGGAATCTTTGAAGCTTTAGCAGCCTCCTGCACGAATTCGGGCCGAGCGGGGGCCAGGCCCAGGGGTTTATTCCTCCTCGTGGGCCGATGTGGGTCCGGCATCACAGAGATTGCTAAGGCCGTTGCGCAACATTGGTATGGAGACGCGAGCAGGCTTGTGGAGATTGAGATGTGCAAGTATTACGATGGAAACCCAAGTGGAATGGAAACAAGGGATCCCGAGTCGTGGCCAAGGCACTTGATTGCTCTGCTTTGCTTCCTATAATATAAATCATTAGTATTAGTATTAGTATGTGTGGACTCTTTTGGATTTACCTCGCCATTTTTGTGTGTTTTTGTAGAACCAAGGCAAGCCTCGAGCTTTTCTTGAGCCGTCTCTCGGAGGTGGTGAGGAAACGGCCCTATTCGGTGATTCTTCTGGATGGAATATATAGAGCGGGCTTTTGTGTTAAGGGTCTACTCCAAGTTCTACGTGGTGATGCACCAACTGGAGTTGACTTTTCCAAGTGTATTATTTTCATGGCGGCAAGACGGGGGCGTTTTGGGTATGGGCTTAACGTGAACTGTACATGCTTTGGCGAAAGACCACAACTCGAGGAGGCATTCGAGCGCGATCCAGCAGGATTCGAGAGGGCCCACGACTGTTTGCCGAAACTTTTGGAAGATGCTCTGTCCATGGTATGTACAAATTTGTTCATCTCTTTTATTCTTACATGCATTGTAATCGACTTATATTTGCAGGGAAGACATTTAATTGGGTCCGAGCTGTTTGACTCTATGGTGGATAGAGCTTTTGCTGTGGATGTTAGGCACAATGAGAAGGCTGTTTGTAGAATGCTTCTTAGGGAGATGGTTGGAGAAGTTGGTGAGGGAAGGATTCTCGTGCATATCTCAGATGCTGCTTTGAACGCCATTCTTTGGAAATCATATGCTAGTTTCGTAAGTTGCCTGCTATGCTATGATTTCCATTTTTATATTGTTGTTGATCTGTTTTCATTCAGTCTATTATTATTTTGCTCTTCAACAGTCGTTATCAACTCCTGGAAAGCTTTTGAAACAAATGTTGGTTGAGGAGGTCCGGCCACAGTTGGTGGCAGCCAGAGGTTGTCATAATAGCAATGCTATTGTATATATCGAACCCTGGTTGGAACGGGCGAGCTGTCGTTTAGATTTGAAAAGAACAAACGTGACCTAGCCGATGCCTACTTCAAGCACAAGGACGGGACATTTGGCAGCGTGGTGGCCAATTTGAGGCTAAAACTACAGTCAGCCTGCAATCTGTTTGAGTTGCGCAAACAGATTATGTGTCATATGAGTCCAACCAATGAAAACAGTGTACGGTTGGGGAGGTCCCTGCTGTACATGTGCAAATATCTCTCAAATTTTTCTCCTTTGTCTCCGAGCTTGGAGGTACCTTTTTTTTAGTTCAAATTTCATTGCATTTTTTTTTTATATACTCAACTTCACGCACGGCCATTCATAGGAGGTAGTAACAACAAGAGGAATAACAGTGACAACATCTAATAGTAATACGGGTGAAGAGAAGTCAAAGTTGGAGGAGGATATAATAGTGGCGAGGAATTTTTTAGCAAAAGCCGATACAAGTCCTGCTGAAGCAGTTGTCCGTGTTATAATCGATGCATTATCCAAAATGATTGATGGTCCACTGGAAGATTATTTCCCTCCCAATCCAAGATGTCACCTAATTTTATGTCCGCACTCTTATGATGCTAAGAGGCAACTGATTTTACGTCTGAGCGAATCCCTCGAGCCGAATTTCACGCACGTCAATGTACGAAATAACATGAACAACGGCCATCAAATCAAGAAATTGCTGATGGAGTTTGTGAAGGAGAGGGTTTTTGCTGTTTTCATGCTCGATGGAGTTGAGGATTCGGATGATGTCTTCTACAGGAGCCTTCTCGAGATTCTTGATAAGGGTGCGCTTGGTGATGACAGCAGTCAACCCGTTGACTTCCGGAGAGCTATCTTTATCCTCACGTCAGAGGCTGCCAACAGGCAGGCAATTGCTGGCTTCTTTGATTCTGATACTAATACTAACCAGGTAGTGAAGTGAATTTCATACTGAGTTACAATTTTTTGTTTTGGTTATGCATTCAATTTTTTAAATGTGGGCGTGTAGGAAAAATTTTGGTCCTTAAATTAAACTCCACACTTGATAATTATGTTCATCAGCAATTAACACACTCTCTACTTGGCAGAAAATTACTACTAAACGAGGTGGATCTGAGCTGCTTCGGTGGGTTGCGATGAATAGGCAACCTCGAGAGAAGGTAATTAAGATCTCGATAATTGCCTCATGTTATTAATAATCTCAATAATCTCGATAATCTCTCTCTCTCTCTCTCTCTCTCTCACTCAGTTGTCTGCTTGACAGAGACGTAAAGTGGAGTCGCTTGCTCGGGTTGAAATAGTTTCCCACCGTGTTAAGGTAAAAAAAATGTAATGGTTGATCTTGAAAGATAATAGCTATAAGCCTATATACAGAAACACTTGATTTTTTTTTTTTTTTTTTTTTTTTTTTTTTTTTTGTCGAACTCATCATGCTAACTTTATTTTTTTCTTTTATGTGGCATGGCAGGAGGCGAAAAGATTTAGGACGGAATTGCTTAACCGGGTGGGTGAAATAATTCTTTTTAACCCGACAAGTTCACGCGAGCAAGGACACATCCGCAGGCTTTCTAAATGCAACAGCTTCAACAAATGCTCCACAACTAATGCTGTATCGGTTTCGAGCATCATTAGATTGTTCCAATGTGGCGGTAAGGCGATTCGATTCGTATCACCTAAATGCTTAATCCTATGTTGTTACTTACTGTGTATCTTGTTTTGTCCTATCATTATTTTTTTGTTGAACATTTTATAAGTTCGTCTGATTTGTTGTGTTTTTACAAATGTTTTTGTTTTTCGCAGATAGAGACGACGGGTTTTTTGATTATTTACAACAACAGTTGTCATCATCGCGTGTCAAATTCCATTTGTTTGGGAGCGCGGGAGATAATTGTGGAGTAGAGGAGACCTGTTCCTCGTACTTCTTAAATTATGAATGACTGAATGAGATTTAATTTAATACACGTAGTGTTTTTAATCAATTAAGTTAATGTGTGTATTGCCGGGTTTGAAGTTGGTCGCATAGACATGAACAGGACTCTGAACAGGACATTTGTGGTTTCGCGATTTAATGGGCCAATCTCGTGAGGATGTGTATTTATTATTGGTGATTTGTCATGAATCGCGGATTAAATCGCGGAAGGTAATACGTCGTAAATGTAAACGAGACGAAGTTAGTCTTAACTTGGTTGATGCTGAGGGGCTTCATTAAATACGAATGAGGCCTAAGTTGTCGGGTTACATATGAAGAATATCTCTCGTTCAGCATTTCTACTGCAACCTTTGATAGTTGGAAATCTCAAAATTTGGTTCGAAGTATCAAGTGATCATCTTCAGGCCAATTATTATGACATGGAAGCTTCTTTAAGCCACACGGATATGGTGACGGGCGCGACCAGCGACGTGGAAGCGATCGTAACCAACAATGGGAATCGGTGTTTCGCGTAGACGAGCCATTTTACGACGAACCGCCGGTTTTTCGATGATGTGCCATTTTATGACGAATTGACGGTTTTTGATGAGGAGCGTCCGGGGTCGGAGGATTTCATTGTGGAGTGTAGTTCTCTTTACCACAACACCAACAAAGACTGTAACCAACCTTTCAGGGGAGAGAGGAGAGTGTGCATGCCAAGGGCGTAGGCCATACTCCAATCCCAGTCGAGGATTTTTCACTTCCCAAGCTGGTAGATGCAATTATTTGTATGCTACATCGTGAGGTTAAGCAAAGTGCAATTGAACTGGCACAATCAATGGAAGATGACGATGGGGTGATTCTGACACTTCAAGTTATTGACCTTTCAAGTGGAGTTGATTTATTTAGCCTTGTGATGCCTGGGGGTGTTTGGATTGGAAGTAGGGTCCTATGTTGTGTGGGTCGGCTAGAGTGGACGTTGAGAGACATTCAACTTTTGTGATCGATAGAGAGAATGTCGGACGATGATTGTCATGGGTACGACTTCGGTGCCAACACGTTTGGTGTGGCTTTAACGGCGAAGCGTTCCGAACCGGAAGAGAACAAATAGTTTAATAATAACAATAATAATAATAATAATAATAATAATAATTATTATTATTATTGTTATTGTTGTTGTTATTGTTGTTGTTATTATTATTATAATTATTATTATTATTATTATTATTATTATTATTATTATTATTTAGTAGATTGGTGAACAAGTTAAGTTTAGGACTTTAGGAGTCTTATTTAAAGACCCCTTCTTTGTTATTTGGGGGGAGTTGATTTTGAATGAAATAAGATATCGTTGAGCTTTGTGAGTTTTACGAGAGAGTATCTCGTTTATCTTTCTCCTTCGTACACTTCCCTACATCAAACATTGCATACATTTTTTCAATACAAATTTAAGATTAGTTAGGAAAATGTGCTTGTTATGTTTAGTTCAATTGAGAATGAATGTACTTGTTATGTTAACCGGTTTTATGTTTTAACTATATTTGTTCTACGGTTGAAGTTTTTAAACAAGGATGAGCATTTGCGAGGAATTGGGGTTTATGAGTCGATAATCAAAGTATATGCATCTGACGTTGAGCAACATGTAAAGGGTGAAGATTCTAGAGTCGAGTTGTGAAGAACCAGCTTCAATTTTTTTTTCCTAATCAGGAAAAGGCCAACCTCGTTCCTGAAAACTGAGTTGTTACTCTCTTTCTAAAAATCGGCCTAGGCGGCGCCTAGGCGCTAGGCGGTGCCTGGGCGCCTCCGATTTGCACAAAGTGACAGAAAAAATCGGCCAGGCGGACTTGGCGGGCTCGTCGGACAGGAGGTTAGGAAGACATAGGCAGACCTAGGCTCTCCTAGGCGGGTTCAGCGGTATTTTTTTTGGTTTTTTTTAAATAATAATTACGTTATTTTGTTCTAATATTTTTTTTAATATATATTAATATTATTATTTGGACTTAGCCATGTGGATTTTTTATAAGTTGAGATAGTTTATGCTGTAGGTAGTTAAAAAAAATAAAAAATAAAATATTTAATATTAATTTCTATGCCCCGACTAGGCGCGGCATAGGCCTCGCCTAAACGCTCTAGGCGCTGGTCGAGCGCCTAGCGATTTTTAGAACACTGCTATAGAATAAATTTTTATCCTGTTTGTAATTATTTTTATTTTCCAAATAACATAGAACTTCACTCCTTTTATTTCCAAATAACATAGAACTTCACTCTTCATCTACTTAAATAGTAGCATTGATCACACTCCCGTCATTTATATCATAACTAAATATGATTAGAGCACCCACAATGCTTTGGGTCTATTAGAAAAAAACCATATGCCATGTAGGAAATAGACCTAGTCTATAAAAAAAATGTTTCACAATGCAATTAAAAGTGGACCTAGTCTAACTTATGTGACACTAGAAAAAAGAGACTAAGTCCACACTTGGGTCTATTTTGGACCCAAGTGCAAACCCACCTAGTCATTAATTGTTCACAATTTTCTTTCTTTTTTTTAATAGGCAAAACACATTTTTTTGTATGCATTTATTATTACTATTTTTTTATTGGTTGTTTAGTATTCTAGACCTAATACTTTTTTGTTTTGCATTGGATAGATTTTGAATTTTTTAGCTTGGGTTTGTACATGTTATTATGGACTTAAGCCTATTTATTTGCCACATATGCAAAAAGAGACCCAAAGCATTGTGGGTGCTCTTAGAGTTACGATAATACAAAAATTGATTTTGTATGATTTATTTTGGACTTTCTTATGTTGGCTAATAGTTTCCCGATATTTAAACCCAGAGAGTCGACTAATCATTTTTACATATCACATCATTTTAATTCAATATTCATCCACTCATATAATTTTAACTAACCATCACACACTACATATTATCTCTCTCATACTATTACATCAAATCAATTTTAATCATTTTATTTTAAATATATTTTACTATACATTAAATTCAAAATTTCACTAACAACTAACCAAGTAATAATACCATATTTTTTTCAAATTTAGCCAAAACCAAACAAAAAAAATCAAATGATCTTCCCGAATAATTCTCTCTCTATGAGAGCTTATCCACTCATCTGAGCGAAGATCTTCCCTTAACCAGGTATAATCCCTCAACCTTATGAGGAACAATCTCAAATTATTGGCATTTAATATGTGGTCCCAATACATTTCTATGTAATTGTGATAATAGTCATCCTTTTCTTTACTTTTTTCTCCTCTATGTATTTAGGATTTTCATTTTCCCTTTTCGGAAACTCCTTTGCTTTTTGCGGTGTCTTGCCCTTTCTTTTTCAGGTTCTCAGGATTTCCTTGTGCTTCTCTGTGCCCTAATTCTGTCATGGAGGACGATCTAGTGTCCCAACTGGAATCCTTTCAACTCTCAGACAAAGAGAATGCCATCTTCCCTATTGCGTCGGATGATATACATCACAGTGCGGATGAGTGCGCTAGAAGTTTATTCAGAAAATGCTTGGGAAAAAGAAAGCCAATGTGATCGGGATAAGACGAGCAATCCACAGTCGCAGTTAGAGAGCTCGATAATAATTTCTTTCAGTTTGTCTTCTCGGATAAGCAAGACCTGAGGAAAGTAAGCAAAGGAATCAACTGGACATTTGAAAATCAGCTCATTATTCTGAGAGAATGGGAGGAAGGCATTAAGGCGGAGCATCCCTGCTTTGATGAAGTGGAGCTGTGGGTGCAAGCTTGGAACCTACCCCTGCACTGGATATCTTCGGAAGTCGGTATGAAGATTGGCAAAGCTTTTAACAGAATCCTAGATGTCAATGTTCCCCATAGCGACCCCCTAGCAGACAAATGTGTGAGGATTCTCGCTGCCATTGATGTCAATCAGCCCCTGCTTCGATGCACTAATATACAACTAGGGGAGACTATAAGCAAAATTCATTTCAAATACGAGAGGTTAGTGAACTCGTGCTTTATTGTGGATTCATGGGTCAGACAGACAAGACTTGTGAAAAGAGACTCAAAGACATTGCCCAGAATAATCTGAGAGAAGGCCTTTATGGAGAATGGTTGAAAGCAGCTGATATAATATATCTATCAACTAGCAATCCACCAGCACCTCTCCCTACTTATTCCAATCCCTCTGCAACCAATATCTCATCACTGCAACAACAATCCTCTCTTAATCAGAGTAAACAGAGTAACATCATTTTCCCAGAAAACCCAGAGATAGAAATGCCAAACCCAGATACAGAAATGTCCACGTCCTCAAATGTACCTGTCATTCAAAAACTTTCCAAAAAACCCATAACCATAGCAGAACCCAAGCCCCAACCAATTCTTATCGAAAAAATCCCTATCCAAATCACCACAATAGAACCTTCCAAAAATTTGCAATTGATGGAAGTGGAGGTTAAAGAGCACCCCGATCATTGCATTCCCTCAGTCACCAACCCCTCAGATCTCAAACCCTCTACCCCTGCTACCACCTCTTCGAACACCAAATAACCCTACTCAATCCAGGTGAAAAAATGGAAGTTGAGAGGAAATGGAAAAGGATAGCTCAGAAAGGCAACAGGGAGGGCTGTACTTCTAACAATTCTCCCAACAGAGGCAAAAGGCAGCTGGAAATCAATGGCCAGCAAGAGGAGATGGGAGAAATCCCTTCAGCACATGAATCAACCCCTTTGAAAAAGATCAAAATAGCAGAAGAAGTGGTGTCGGCGTCCAGCCCTAAATGGCCCCAAAACCCCCAATGAGAGTTGCGGTGTGGAACTGTCGAGGAGCGGGTGGCTCCTCAACAGTTCCTCAGATCAAGGAGGTATGGAGACTCCACCACCCCCATTTTGTTTTTTTTTTTTTTTATCAGAAACAAAAAAGAAAAATCCCTTTATTTGTACAGTATGTAAGAATATATGTGTAAGTGATATATGGGCTTCAGTAGAGCCTATGGGAAGAAGTGGAGGGCTTTTGTTGTTTTGGGACCCTTCTATCCAGATCTTTGCTATTGAAAAGCATACATTTTGCATTGAATTGAGTTTTGGGATGAAGCAGCAGAGGTCACCAGTTGGGGAATATTTGTTTATGCAAGTACTGATCAGAAGGAAAGAGCATTGCAATGGGATTATCTCAACTCCAAGAAGGCTATGTGGGGGCACAACTGGTTTTTGACTGGAGACTTTAATGACCTGACCAAGCCAGAAGACAAGAGAGGAGGCAGACCTAGAACTCAACAGTCTTGTGATGATTTTAACAGGTTTATCAGTAATATGACTATGCTTGAGGTCAATATGACTGGTTACCCTTACACATGGGGTAACAACATACAAGGGGAAGACTTTATTAAAGAACACTTGGACAGATTCTTTGCCTCATTTGGCTGGCGCAACCTGTATCCAAAGGCTCAGCTGCACAACATTTACAAGAGTGCTTAAGATCACAGCCTTATCCTTCTTAACAGCAAGCCAGAATCTCAGCATAAATCCAAAAGGTTTTGGTTTGATAAAAGGTGGACTGAGAGAAAAAGAATTGTTGATGTTGTCTCAGCTGCCTGGAGCAAGCCTCAGACAGGAACTCCAATGTTTTGCTTGACCTCCAAGATCAAAGCTACTAGGATAGAGCTGCTTAAATGGAGCAGCTCCTTCAAATAAGAGAATGCACAAAAAATAGAGAGCTGCAACAGACAACTCATTATCCTTAGAGCTGGGGGAGGGCTCAGAAACTGGCAAATGTGGGATGAACTCAACAGGGAGTTGGATGCAGCATATGAATCTGAAGAGAAATATTGGGTGCAAAAATCTCGGATAAAATGGCTGAAAAATGGTGACAAAAACACAAGATTTTTCCATGCTCAAACTATACAGAGAAGAAAGAAGAACCAAATTCTCAAACTCATCAGGGAGAATTCCTCAGTATGTCAGAGCAAGGATGATCTTTCTCACTGCATAGAAGACTATTTTGCCACACTTTTCTCTTCAGAAAGGACAGCCGAGGGAGACAGAAACTTACATGGGATCAGTACTGTAATATCAGAGGACTTGAATGCAGAATTAGTGGCACCAGTGAGCAAGGAGGAAATCCAGGGAGCCCTTCACAGCATAAACCCCTTTAAAGCTCCGGGACCAGATGGTATGACATCTACTTTCTTTGATTTCTTTTGGCCTCTGATTGAGCATGACATGTGTAATGCAGTACTTAGTTTCTTTGAATCTGGTCTCATTCTGAAAAATATCAATCAATCTGTAATTACTCTTATCCCAAAATGCAATAATCCCATCATGGTGTCTCAGTACAGACCAATTAGTTTGTGCAAGGTTGTTTACAAAGTCATTTCTAAAATTCTTGCCAACAGACTTAAGTCTTGCTTGCCCCTTTGCATTAGTCCTAACCAGTCAGCCTTTGTTCTTAACAGAAAAATCACTGATAATGTGATAATAGCTAATGAGGTCATCCACTTTCTGAAAAATCATAGAACTGGTAGGAATTTCTACATGGCCATTAAGCTTGACATGTGTAAAGCCTTTGATAGGGTTGAATATGACTGCATCAGGTTTATGTTAATGAATTTGGGCTTTAATTCTAAGTTTGTGTTGTGGATTATGCAATGTATCTCTACCTCTTCATTTTCCTTTAACTTGAATGGTGAAATAGTGGGTTATTTAAAACCCTCAAGGGGCATTAGGCAGGGTGATCCGCTATCACCCTACCTATTTATTATAATATCTGAAATATTAACCCATCTGATCACCACTGAGCTGAATGCAGGTAATTTGAAAGGTATTAAGCTTTCCAAGAAATGCTCCACACTCACCCATCTGTTTTTTGCCGATGACACTCTCTTATTCCTCAAAGTCGAGCCTAAACAACCTAGCACTCTTCTCCACATCATTCAAAAATACCAAAACATTTCAGGCCAAAGGTTAACCTCAACAAATCATCCATCTTCTTCAGTAGAAACACCCCTCAAAATCTCCAAAACCAATTTTGTCAGATCTTACTTGGAATCACTCCCCAAAACTCCTCAAAATACCTTGGATTGCCTCTTGGTATTGGAATTTCTAAAAATGATACCTTTTCTTTTGTGGAAAATTCTGTGAAGCAAAAGATTTGCAACTGGAAAAACAGGTTCTTAACTCTTGCAGGTAAGGAAGTGCTCTTGAAATCAGTCTTGGGAGCCTTGCATATATACACTATGTCTTGCTTCCTACTGCCACTGACAGTCACAAAAAGAATATCCTCTGAATTTGCTAAATGGTGGGACTCTAAAAAGGAAGGGCACCATTGGATTCATTGGAAGCAATGAAAGCACATCACTTTACCTAAGGAGTTAGGAGGACTTGGATTTCATGATCTCCATACATTCAACAAGGCCTTAATTTACAAGCAACTATGGAGGAAAATGAATCAGCCACATCTCCTAGTAAGACAAATTCTCAAGGGGAGATACTTCCAGAAAGATAACCTCATTGCTGCAAAACACAAATAGGACAGCTCTAGGCTATGGGCCACCTGGTGGAAACAATTGGAGGGCTTCAAAAATGGCCTTTTGTACCAAATTAAAGATGGCACATCAGTGAAAATTTGGGAAATGCCTTGGGTCCCGAAACTGAAAGGATTTATACCAGTTGGCAAATATCCAAGGAATAATGATCTCATATGGGTCAAGGACCTCATTGATGTCACAGGCTGGAGATGGAACAGATCACTGATAGAGGAAAGCTTTGAAGTAGAAGAAGCAACTGCAATCATGGCAATTTCCTGCCTGAACCCACATGAGAAAGACAAGTTAACCTGGGCTTGGAATAATGCATGGAAACACACTGTTGCCTCTACTTACTCAGCTCTGATTGAAAGAAAGTGAAGGATAATAGATGTACCAGGGTCAAGTTTGCATCAGGTAGAGCAAAAAAGAATCAGGAGAAGAACCTGGAACCTGAAACTACAAGGGAAAGTGAAACATTTTATATCGAAAGGGACTCAAAACATTCTTCCTGTGTTGGTGAATCTTAAAGGAAGAGGGTTGAACTTGGACCAGATATGTAAGTTTTGCGGAGAGGAAGGGGAATCCCAAGAACACATGTTTTTCCACTGTCCAAGAACCGTTAGAATATGGAAGATGTCACCAGTATCCTGGGATGGCCTTAAGGCCCACACTCATACCTTCAGAACATGGTGGAGTGCCCTGTGCATGCATGATCCCAAGTAAACCAGGGCTGGATGACAGAATCCATTTTTCGTGCTACTTGTTATGGTGGATTTGGAAAACCCGAAATTTATTTTTAAGCAAACATTAAGATTGGAAAGAGATACAGTGGAGCTGGCCCTTGAGAATTGGCAGAACTTCTCTACAAACTTGTAGTGCTTTTTGTCTGTACATAGTGTTTTTTCTGCTGTTAGTTTCAGGCATCTTTTGAGTAGGTTTTATTAACTTACTAGGTCTCTAGGGTACAGTGGTAAGTTAATTTTGAAGGCTTATAGTTGCCGATCGTTGGGTTAGATGTGTGCTCTTGGGTTCTTAGCTTTGCCTTAGCCGAGAGTTTGCTCTAAACTCCTTTATTTAAGACTATTCCTAGTCTTCTTATTCCTTATTTGGGCTGTATTGGGCTATGTGGCTTCGAACGTTGTACATTTATTTTTGAGATATAAATTCTGTCGTTTCAAAAAAAAAAAAAA